TCGACCTTTTTCCATTATTTATTTCAAATCAAAAAAATGTCCTCATATCTATCTTAGACATGTACAACTACGAGAAAAACAAAATAGAGGAAAGAAAAGAAACTAATTTTCGTTGAGAGTTTGAAAATTCTGGGTATTGATGCAACGCAAAACTACATATATAAAAAAACTTCCTTTTTCACCGCATATGAATAATGTTCTTAAAAACGTCACGTAACTATCAGCCATCTACCATCAGTTTTATCGATCTGTCTTTATTGACTGTTAATGCATTACAAATTTTCCTAACAATCGATATATATTTTTTCGACACTGAAATTCCCAGTTAACTCAAAATTTATTTGACTTTTTACAATACAACATCTTTTTATTACTTTCTACTGCTGTCTTAGAGCTTCACCACAACAATAATCGAAATTTTGTTTTGAAAATATTTCTTCGTTTGGTGTCAATATCTTGAGATTTTTTTCTTGAAAAAAAATAGATACAAGCATTATCAAAAGAAATCTGCATAATTTTGAGATATATCAGCTTAAAATGTATTTGATACTAACGGATGATATTATATTTGAATGTTCACTTGTTATAATTTAAACGTATCGAAAAACTAAACAACATATGAAAGAAATTACTTCGGATATAGCCAGATGGTTGAGGGCTGAGAACACGAATAGTGCGGTATGGATTCGATTCCCGTACGAAGTGTTTCTTTTTTTCATAAGTTTTTTTATTAACTTGTTTTTAATTTTGTGAAACTTTTTTGCCAATTGGGTGGGTGTGGGTGAAGAGAAACCAGGATCCGTATCCACACCCACCTTCCTCTTCTTGAATAGCATATGATGAACGCAATCATATCCTTTCAGTAGAGGGTTAGCGACGTTTGCGTCGCGTTACTTGTTATATTTTAGTTTAGCTTCGACGATACAAAATTATTCAATTCAACATCGAACAATAAAATAAAATGTAGGTATCAGTTTTTATTTTTATTTTTTGTTCTTTTTAAAATCATATGAATGGTGGTAAGTCCTCCTATGATCTTTTTTATGCATTGGTTTTTTTAATTTTAGACATTGAACAGTGAAGAAAAAGATAATAGTGGGGGTAAGTGAACTGATTCTTTTCCATTATATAACATTAATTGAATTTTTTTCTTTTCTTTTTGGTCCTCAATATCATCGCATCGCCACTATCAACAACATCATCGTCCATCATCAAACGTAGTGAGTAACTTTTGTTTTTTTTCTTTGAGATGAGAATAGAGAATGAGTCTCAGCACAGTGAGTGTTAGTGGGAGGCGAGGGTGAGTTCTGTCCGTTGAGAGTTTGGGTTTCGTCTTCTATGAACGACTTTCGGGTAGTCCCTAAAAGCCCGGTCAGGAACCGTCTTGGTGTCCGTGGCACACGACCGCGCTTACCCAGACTCATTGACATATCTCTCGAGTGGGAGGAATGTGAATGATTTGAGTCTGTCCCGTGCGTACATGAGCGTTACGCTCGCCACGGCTTCACCAGGATGGTTCCTGGTCGCGTGCGCACGAATAGAATAAACCATTCATTTCATCAATTCAATGCGATTTATTTGAAACGAAAGGAAAGGAAAAAAATCTATCACGACGAGTCTATTCGATTGAAAAGCGTTGAACACGATGATTCCCCCAATCGCCGACATAGAGATTGCCATGTCGATCGAAGGACAAACCCTGAGGAGACTTGAGCTGGTTTGCTCCTCCTCCGTAACCATTTCCACCCACAATGACAGTGCCCTGTTTCGCTCCTTTAGGCCAACGCATCACTCGATGATTATACGAATCTGCCACATAGATGGTACCCAATGTATCGACGAATAGTCCTCGAGGATCCGACAATTGTGCCAGAGCATTTCCTTGACCTTGACCTCCAGCGACGACAATTCCTTCTTTTGCACCTTTATTCCATTCCATTACACGATGATTGTTGTTGTCTGACACATAGACAGTCTGCTGTTGATCGATAAAGACGAAGGTCGGCCAGTTGAGTTGATTGAGACCAGCACCTTGGCCATTGCCACCAGCCACAAGAGTTCCATTCTTGTCTCCTATTTGATATCGTCTTACTTCACCTCTGACGTTGTCAGAGATGTACAGATATCTCTGATCATCCATGGCCAATCCCCAACAATCGATGTTGTCGATGAGGATTTCTCCTTGAGTTGTGCCACTACGACGAGACCATCGTACAACTCGTCGATTGTTCCGGTCACAAATAATGAGACTATCCGTCTCTTTGTCGATCAACACATCAGTTGGTCGATCCAATTGATCCAATCGATTTCCTTTACCATTGCCACCAGCTACTACTCGTCCATTCGTGTCATCCATCTTCCATTGGATGATACGATGATTGGAGTGGTCAGCGATGACCATAGTTTGATCATCATCAACGAAGAGACCATAAGGCCCGCCGAGTTGATTGGTAGCACTGCCTTCTCCATGACCACCAGCAACAGTCACTCCATTCTGTTTCCATTGGGCATCAACTGTAATATTAGGAATTACTACAATAAACGAAAAAGAAAAGAAATCGTCGTTGTTAACGGAATCTTCTCTCTCTCGTGGGGAAAAGAGCTATGAAGGAGATATTCATCTTCTTCGAAGAGAATTTGGTAAAACTTTCGTGACTGTTCTTTCCGCAGATAAAAATTCAGAAGTCTTTTCCTAGTTTCCCATGAGAAAAGAAGGCTTTCCTAATGATTCTTACATCTACGTCACTTTTAGTTTTTTCCAAGATCTTTTTGACCCAAAAAACTACACCTGAAGATTGTTGTAAGGAGATTTTTCCGAGAAAGACATTGGGATCTGAGGATTTTATTCGAAATTAAGAGAATTCAGAATTTTTTTGCAGAATGATTACTTTATGTGAACGTCAGAGAAGATTTCATCTGCATCTTGTAAGAAGAATATCGAATCATTAAACAAAAAATGTAAAACCTAATCCCTTAATTTTTTAGAAAACCTTAATTTTGGCAAATTATGTGGAGGTGTTCGAAGAACGACTCTGATAGGGTCTTAGAGAGATGATCAGAATGCTTGGATGCATACGAAACTGAGCAAAGTTGAGAGGATTCCACGCGGATCTATGTAATCTGATACCTTCTGGTGTTGAAATGCTGAAAAGATAGATGTTAATCCTAACGAAGCTCTCTAATGAAAAACATTGGGATCTATGGATTTTATGGGCTTTGGAAGGGGTGGTGGTAATGGGGTAGCCAGAAAGTGGCCTGCAAAGCTGTTAGTAAGCTTGTGTGAAAATGACCTTGAAACCATTGTATGAGGATCATAGAAGAGAATCTTAGCGACTAACAAGGGAACCTTCCCAGGTGCTAGAACGCTTTTCAGTTGGGGTTTCGTGTATCTTGTAGCCCTTAATGAGCTGTGTCTATGGTTAAAAAAGTTCGGGTTTCTCGGTTGTTTCTGAGTAGATAAAACGTTTTTACTATTATATCTATAAGGGTAATCTTATCAGGAAAAAGTACTATGTCAACGAATATAAGTTCAAATGAGCTGAGATTTTTCTCACATATAGTTGTACTCATGTGGAAGATAATGTGAAAGTCTGAGCTCAAAAAACCTTGAGAACATAGAGTTAACACTGTTTCCTGATAAGATTACCCTTATAGATATAATAGAAAAAACATTTTTTCTCCTCAGAAACACGCCAGAAATCCGAACTTTTTTAGCCATAGACACAGTTCACTAAGGGCTACAAGATACACGAAACCTCGACTGAAAAAGCGCTCTGGCACCTTGGAAGGTTTCCTTGTAAGTAAGATATTCTATGAAACTCTGAAATTCTGAAAATGATGAGGATATCCTATCAGGATCTTGCTTTAATCATTATGTGGTACTTCTTCTCCTGAGAAACTTCAACTGAGCTAAAGTGTCATATATATTCTGAGAACACATCAGAGTTGCGGTGAAATTAATATAGATCTGGAGTGGAATCGAAGTGGAATCGAACAATTGAAGGGTACAGTTAGAGTAGAATTGAAATGGATCCAGAAAAGTGTTGGAGTGGAATTTGGCAAATGGTGGATGATATTGATCAAGATGCCGAGCGAACTTAGAGTGGAATTGAAGGTTAATTTCGGAAGATAAGAGCGGAATAAAGTCAGGTTGCCGATTTGTAGATTTTATGCGAAAGCTTAGAAAGGAATAAATTAACTTGCTAGTTATTGATATCATCCGTAAACTTAATCATGTTCAAAAACTTTTGTTTCTTAAAGAGTACATTGGAAGACATTCAGCTTTGTAAAATAGGAGTTGGACTAAAACTGAAGAATTATTCAGGAGTTGAAGTTAAAGAGAGATTTAAGAATATAGGAGTAGAACTGTGTGGTATTAGAGCGGAATATAGTGAAGTTGCCAATCTCTGCTTTATACACAAATATCGATCCTAATCAGTGTCCATCGGGCAGTGGCTGGAATATTAGGAATTACTACAATGAATGAAACAGAAAAGGGATCGTCGTTGTCGAAAAGATTTTTATCTCTCATACACGAGAAAGTACTACAAATGAAACAGTCTTTGTGTAACGTAGCCTTTAAAAAAAGCACTTCGTAAGGAAATGCTTTCGATGTCGAGGAAGAGAAACCTGCTTAACATGAAATTCTAAGGTGATTTCTATGTTCTAGTTTAGTATTAGAATTTGAAAAGGAAATCTTACGATCCTTTCAGCGATATTCAACACATTTTCATGTGATATAGAATGTTCGAAAGAAGAAAAAAAATGATGGAATGAAATATCGAGATACTTAAAGTCGTGTGCACTTTAGTTTTTAATAATACAGGTTGAAAAATGATCTCTATAATACATTAGTTAGGATTTCTGTCTGAACTGCTCTTTTAATTGTATAACCTTTTTTCAATAAAACATAAACTATCATTTATCAGGCATGTTTGATACTTGTGATGCAATATCGTGTTTATACATTGAGTAGTTTCATTAGACTAAAAAGACTTTCATTAAAATGATGAAAACTCCTTATAGTTCTATCAAAAGAAATGTTTTTGATTTTTTCCGAATTCTAAATTGTCTCTAGATCTGTTTTCTTAGCAACGAAAAGAAATTATTATCATACGTAAAAATATTTGTTACAGCAAAATTGAAAATATTTAGTTTGTTTTCCTATGATTTTCTGAATGACATTCGAATGTACTATTATCATAATAATATAATAGTAAATAATTTTCAAATGAATTCTGTTTCTAAATAATTTCTAATAACGAAAAAAACAAAATAACATTTTTTCTGGCTAGAAATTCTAGAAGTTATGAAAATACTCTATGAGCAGATATTTATTTAGTCAAATTTATTAATTTGAAGCAAAAAGAAATTTCAAAAATGACCTCAAGCAAAAAAAAAGAGATATTCTCAGATTTTTTAAAATGTTTATAAGATATGTAATCCACTCAGTATAGGCAGAATTCGTCTAATGAAATTTTAGATTATACATAGTGCTTTTGTCTCTAATAACTAGTCAAATACTTAACGTACTTCTCAGTATAATATGCTGACATTTTTATCCGTGATTATCAAAACTTACTTTAGAGTATTTACAGCTGACTGTAAGAAGAAAATTTGCACTGCCAAGAGTCATGAAAAAAGAGTGTTGCAGTTTTATCAACAAATTCTTGCTTTTTATAACTAAAACTCTGAGGATATATTGAGTAACAAGACATGAATCTGTAGTATAAGTACGAACGAAGCGACACTAGTATGAATTAATCGAAAAAATTGTATAACAGTTATAGTTGGCTATGAGAATGAATCTCTTATTGTTTATAGCTCGCATAAGGTCAAAGTTCGTTGTTAAAGTCAGTTGTAACTACTTCAAAACAATTGTTGACAATATTTCTTTTATGAATATGACTTATGAATACTATTTTACTAACAAGACTTTCATAAAAACAATCATATTATGGATTGATAAAGTTTTGAAAACGTTCTACACATTACAGAAGATAAAGTAAAAATTAAATAAAGATTTTGATTGAGGTAGATTTGAGATTTAGCTTGTTTTTTATATTGATATTTTATTTTCTATTTTTTTGATTTTGGACTGGGTTGTAAAGAATATATGTGTGTGGAACAGGTCTCAGACTGTGACATAGTTTAAAAGCTTGAGAGAACTTTACAACGTTATAGTTGCGAATGTAGTGCATGAACATCGTCTGTTAATTTACATAGATTAAGAGTGACATTTACACCCTAACTTGAAATTATTCTCTCATAACGTAAAAGAAATGAAAGCAATCAAATATTAAACATTTTCTCTCTTGAATTGAGGATAGATAGAACTACACTATTCATACTGTAGAGTAGTACTTCTAAGAAGGAAATTGCCATTACAAAATCATGCTGAGAAATCAATTAAAGATTTAGATCCTTCGTTATCGACAACATTTAATCAGATTGACCAATTTTATAGTTACTATAACTAATATATTCATGAATGAATTTAAACACAGCAATAAAATCGAAAGAGAAGAAAAAGTTTATACTTACATTTAACTTCTTCGTTAGATGATACCTTATATATCGACTTGATTTACTTAAATCTATACTAATTGCTTTTAAAAAATGTTTTTTGACTTAAAATATTATATTTAATTTAAAAATTAGCTTTTTTAAATACTTTATTCGAAAACAAATATCTATGGTATATTAAGAGTTGATTTTTAAGCAGATTCTGTTTTTTAAATTAATCAATGAATCTTTTTATTCTTAGAATATTAATCACAGTCATTAGTGAATTCTCATGAGAAAAAATTGCATTAAAAAATAACTACTTTATAAAAAAAGAAATTTTCAAAATTCGATATATTTCAAACGCTTAACATCACTTTTTTTCCTATAAAATTAAAATGCATCGAAATATATTGAAACTTAAGGACAAAGGAAAGTCATGTAATGAAAGAAGACAAATGAATAAAAAATGGCTTTAATGGACGTGTCTGTTTTGCCTCCTCTCATTTTCTACTAAGTTCTGCATACTGTCAACTTCTCCAGTGAATAGAATTTTTTTTGGCAAAATCTTATTGAAAATTGGTTGTGATTTGATTCGCTTATTGTAAATCCTTAATTATAAGAAAGTTATGAAATTGATAGCGGACCGTAATGAAAGAAAAGTCTACGAAGTAATGTGAATAATCTTCTAAATAAATAAATATTATTTCTATTGATTTTTTTTATCATGCATTAGGGTGTGGGATGTGAAGTGAAGACTGCCTTGACCAACACTCATACCCAGACCCAGACCCACACCCTGATTTACTATGATTACGAAAAAAATTGTCACAGAAACAATGCCTTGAAACTCTTTTGTGTACGGATTCAAGGCATTGTTTCTGTGAAAATTTTTTTTGTAATCATAGTAAATTATAAATCGAATTTGATCTTGTGTGAGCTTCGTAGTAATATCAAAAAAATGTCTTAGTAGTGTATCAATTAATCT